TTCTTTGAAGGTGCAGCACCCATTGGAGGAAGCCTAGGTTTTCTGCTGAGCTTGCCAGCAATAGCACTGTCCCTGGGATCAGATGGGGAGGGAGGATTTGGAGCTGCAGAGCCAGACGTGTTCCCTGCCTGCCGCAGATGGTCGTTGGGGAGCTAAGCTGGGAGTTCTTCCTGTCCTCTCTGTGATGAGTTCACCAGCTGGTATTAGTATGGGGTTCGGCAAAGTATGGCCTGTGAACCAAGAATGAGTTTTGCACTTTTAAAAGGTTGTAAAAGAAACCAAAAACCACCCAGAACACAAAGAAGGTGTGACAGAGACTGCATGTGACTTGCAAAGCCTGAAATACTTACTATATGGCCCTTTATGGGAAGTTTTCCAAGTCCTGGATGCAGAGATCCACCCAGGTTCTTCGCATCTTCCTACACTTTTCTGAGCATCTTATTCCCTCATGGTCCCCAAATGGTTGCCACAGTTCCAGCCATCCTCAGGAGCCCGGACAACATCCCACCAAGGAAGAGGGTGCATCACGAGGAAGACTTCTCCCCGTAGTCCACTCAGCAGACTTGCCCCCAGGTCCCGTTGGCCAGGATTTGGTAGGCAGAGGGTTGTGAAAAATTGACACATACAGAATGGCAAAGAGAATACTGTGATGGGAGAAGCCCAGGAGTTGAGGAACACAGAGAAGGCACTTTACTTGGAGGAGAGAGCAGCAAAGAAGGCTTCCTGGAGGTGGTGGCATCAGCACAAAATAGAAATTGGCCAGAGAAAGGGGTGGGGAAGAGAAGGCATTGCGTTACAAATAGAATAGTAGTTCTTCCATCCCCTCCCCTCCCCTCCTCTCTCTCCCCTTTCCTTCCCTTCTTTATTTCATTCATTCATTTATCCATTCAACAAACACCAAATGCCTCCAGTGTGCCAGGCACAGGGGGCAATAGCGGAGACTAAGACATAGAAGATTTCTGTTCTCATAAGCCTTCCTTAGAGAGACAGTAATAAATAAACAATTAGAGAAATACCAAGTAATTGTAATTATTAAAGTGTAAGTGAAAGGGTGCTGTGATAGGGTCTGGAGAGTAACCTTATAGCTGTGACTCAGAAGCAAGAAGCATCAAGGCTGCATAGGATCTGCAGGCAGCTCTGGGTTAGAAAAAACTGGGTGGAGGGAGCTGGGGGGTTTGCTTTGATTGCCCTGATGCCGGGGTCTCTGGAAGAGATTAAATCCAGGCTAGCCCAAGGTCTAGGACTCTGAGGCTGTGGAATGTGCATTGTACCCAAAAGGTGGGCTGCCATGGGGACCTGTGGAGTGATACCCCTTTGTCAAGATGCCAGGGCTGCCTGGCTGCCCCATTCCCTGCCCTCCCTGCCCACCCCAGCATGGCTCCTGGAACAGCGTGGGTGGCGCAAAAGAGAGGCTCTCCGCGTGCAGAGAAGCGAGTCATGTGAGAACAGACCTCCAGCCAGGTCAGGAGAAAGCACTCCTGCGTGGAGGCGTGCTCTGCAAGTGGAGACCGTTCCTCACAGCACGATGAGATGAGAGAGGGGCGGGGGCTGCCCAGCTGAGTGATGGAAATGATGGGGGTGGGACGTGGTACCACTGTTCCCTTGCCCAGAGAGCCAAAGCTGCTGAGCACAGGCCTCCAAGTCCGACTTTGCCACTAAGCCACTGCACAACCTCCAGCCTTCACTCTCTGCCTCAATTTTCTCCTCTGTACGATGGGGATACTTGTTTTGTTCCCATGAGTTGGTCAGAGCATATTAATGTTACCACCACTTGGTAAGAAGGGTACTGTTTTTCTCCTCTTTTAAAGGCAAAGAAGGTGAGGCTCAGAGAAGGTAAGCTACTTGCCCAGGATCACACAGCAAGGAGCTGGAGGGCCAGGCAGTCAGACTTTGGAGCCTTAACCTAAACCATGCTTGCGAGGATGACGTGAGATGATGTGGGGCCTGGCACACACAGTATGTCCCGTCAGCTCTTAGGAAACATGTACCCTGTCAGAGCATCAGAGCAGCCTTTGGACGAGTGTTGATTTAGCCTGGGGAAGAGGGCATTTCTCTTTATAAGTTTGTTTTTCAAAACGTAGGTACTTTTTTTTTTTTTTTTTTGAGACAGAGTCTTGCTCTGTCGCCCAGGCTGGAGTGCAGTAGTGCAATCTCGGCTCACTGCAACCTCTGCCTCCCAGGTTCAAGCGATTCTTCTGCCTCAGCCTCCCGAATAGCTGGGATTATAGGTGTGTGCCACCATACCCGGCTAATTTTTGTATTTTTGGTAGAGATGGGGTTTCACCATGTTGGTCAGGCTGGTCTCGAACTCCTGACCTCGTGGTCCACCCACCTTGGCCTCCTGAAGTGCTGGTATTACAGGTGTGAGCCACCGCATCTGGCCAAATGTGGGTAGTTAAGCCACACTCATTCCAATGGTGGATTCCAATGGGGCAGTCCCCATTGGAATATCTGTGCCTGTTGCTGGGGGCCTGCTGTGTGCTCTTGGCTTGCACTAATACCTGGGAGGTAGGTGTCATGATTTCCATCTGCAAATGGAGGCAGCTGCGGCAGGAGAAGGCTGTGTAAGGGCCCCGGGCCACACAGTATTTGTAAGTGGGTCTGGTGGCTTTGCAGAGGAAGGCCGAGGGTTTTGAGTTGGTCTTTCCTGTGGTCTTCCTGGGTAGCCCCCTTGGGGAATCACATCCCGGAGAGAAGGGAAGCATTGCCTGGGGCCCCACAGTGGTGTGGGGCAGGGCCTGGCCCTTCCTCTCCATTCAGCCTGGGCAGGAGGGCATGGAAGATGCCCTCTGAGGCCACCCAGACCTGCTGGTCACTGGAGCTGTTAGCGTGGTTGAGTTTTTATCAGAACAGAGTACAGGAGGGGTCTCCAAAGCCATGTTGGCAAACTTTGTGCTTTTCACTGTCAGGCTTCAGCTGGGGTTCACGGCCAATCTACGTGTGAGTAGGAGAAAGCCAAATGGAGTGGAGGGACGGAGGAACACACGTCAAGGTCTTCCTTCCTGTGACCACATCTTCTGTACCCCATAATTCAGCGGACACAAATGGGGATATTCACAGGGGCAGGGTAGCCCGGTAGTTAAGGGCACAGGCTTTGAGTTCCACCCAGCCGTGGGTTGTGTCACCGCTCTGCATATAGCAGATGCATGACTTGGACTGGCGATGTCATTGTCCAGAGCCTTTGTTGTCCCATCATACACTGAAGATTACAGCCTTCCTGGGTTGTACCTGTCAGCGAGGCAGTAGGGCGCACAGTAGTCCCTTGGTGAATGACAGCTACTGTGAGTTGCGACCACGCTTACTACAAACCCCAAGTAAAACAGTCGCGTAGAATCAGGAGTGGGTCTCTTGCTTCCCTGCTATAGTACCTGGTTCATAGGAGGCACTCAAGATTAAGTGCTTGTTGAAGTCAGGACAGGAGGGAGGGAGCAAGGAAAGAAAGGCCAGAAAGGCCTTCTCATTTTTTCAATCTTTTGTGATGCTCATGGAGACCTTCAAAATCTCAGAGTGTTGCTTAGGGGGCAGGTCAGCCAAGTAAAGCAAACTCACTGGTCAGAAATACATTTCTTAGGGGAGGTCACGTGTTCCTCATCCCTGTTCTCATTTGCTGTTTCCCAAGAACATCTTGCTTTGTTTTGCTAACTGAGCCAACCATGTGGAACTTCAGCTACTGCGGTGGAAAGAAGCGAGTTGTCCAGCCCCAGGCAGTGTGGCCAAAGACACCAGCAGAGCTCCCCTCCTCCTTCCCAGGGGCTGATTGCCCCCAGAACCACTGGGTGGCCCAGCGAGATAAGTCAGGCAGGGGAATTAGGTGGGGGCCTGCCGCCTGCCTTTTTCCATTTTAGAGAAGGCCAGGGTTTGCAGCCTTATGAGAGGCCTGGCTCTTGGAAGAGGGGCTGTGATTACTGATTGGCTTTGCCATGCTGGGCAGGGCCACATGGCAGACTCTCCACAGCATGGAAAAACCCTGCTTTCTACTTGAGCTGAGGGTGGGGACTGATAAAGAAAGGTGATGAGTTTCTGTTTCTAGAAATATTTCCTTGCCAGATGATTTTTTTTTTCTCATCCCAAGGTTAATTAAAGACATCTTAGGTCACTAAAATGACTATTTGAAGAAGAATGTGATAAATTAACACAAGGAAATAATCTTGGGCTTGGTTTATAAATAATCTGGGATTGACTTATAAAATCAAGTCATTTCTATTTTTTTTTTCTTTTATCTGAATTCCTTTCTCTGTTGCCTTGGAAACAAGTCTCCCAAGGGGGATGTTTGGAGTCCTGTGACTTGGGTTCAAGCCTCAGTGATTCCTTCATTTCACACGGTGGGTGCGATGAGAGCCTCTTGAGGATGTTGAGTATCAAGGGTGGACAGGACACGTCCCTGCCGCCCACAGGCTCGGGACCCAGAGGGGAAGACTGGTGGGTAAACCAACTTACAGCCAGGTAAACTGTGTGATTCAGTGGGGGTTACATAGGCAGGGTGGGAGCCCAGAGGTGCCCCCTGCCCCCATGGACATAAGGAAACGGGGGAGGTGTCTCAGAGGCAGGAGTATCTAAGGTGAGCTGTGGTGGACTAGATGCTGGCCAGGTGAGGACGGGGTGGAAAGGTGTCTTAGCCAGAGGGAACAGCATATGCAAAAGGCTGAACAAGAGATGGCATGGCACATTCCAGGGTGAACATCTGTCCAGTTTATCCAGGGTCGAAAGAAGCTGGGGAAACAGGTAATATGTGAGGTTGCAGACGCTGTCGAAGTTCAGATCATGCACAATTCCTGGGAGATATCAGAGAGGGCGCCTGCTGCAGATGGACCATGAGGCCTTAGGGCAGCCCTCGGTCTGGGCCTGTTTCTTTAGTTAAGTGGGAAGGTTGGCCTGGGTTGGTCCCTGCTGGTGTCCTGGTTCTGACTGTCTAGGGTCCTGTGATTCATTGGAACAGTAAGATGATAGGAATTATAATAGAAAAACGGTTATCCCTTGTGGTCACCATTTATTGAGTATTGTTGTTGTTGTTGTTGTTTTGAGACAGAGTCTTGTTCTGTCACCCAGGCTGGAGTGCAGTGGTACGATCTCCGCTCACTGCAACCTCCACCTCCTGGGTTCAAGAGATGCTCCTGCCTCAGGCTCCTGAGTAGCTGGAACTACAGGTGCACACCACTATGTCTGGTTAATTATTGTATTTTTAGTAGAGACGAGGTTTTGCCGCGTTGGTCAGGCTGGTATCGAACTCCTGGCCTCAAGTGATCCACCCGCCTCAGCCTCCGAAAGTGCTGGGATTACAGGTGTGAGCCACTGCGCCCGGCCTTATTGAGTGTTTACTACGTGCCAGGGGCACAAATTATCTCAGTTGTTTTTTTGTCGCAACCTTTTGAAGCGGGTGGGCCTCATACAAGATGAGAAAACCATGACTCAGGTGATGCAGGCCTTATGCGGAAGCCCTGTGCCATCTGCTACCTTCTGACTGACGGTGTTGCTCCATCTGAAAGAGAGAAAAAAGTAGGTTGAAGCTGAGTTCATGAGCCAGCCCTTCCCACATGTAGTCCTGGGAATTTGTCACCAGACCAGTTGACAAGAAAGGGAAACTAATGCAGTTGGCAACTGGGCAAGCCTTTCTGAAGGCTTTTCCTGACCCTCACAAGAGGCCATGGGGAACAACTCAGATAACTGTAGAGAAATGAGGTGGTGAAGTGCTTTGGGATCAGACAGGTCTGGATTCAAGTCCCAGAGCCCTCTTGCCAGCTCAGTGACCTTGGGCAAGTCCCCCCCCCGCTTTTTTTTTTGTTTTGAGAGGGCGTCTCGCTCTGTCACCCTGGCTGGAGTGCAGTGGCGCGATCTCGGCTCACTGCAACCTCTGCCTCCCAGGTTCAAGTGATTCTCCCACCTCATCTTCCCAGGTAGCTGAGACTACAGGCATGTGCCACTGCGCCCAGCTAATTTTTTGTATTTTTAGTAGAGACAGGGTTTCACCATGTTAGCCAGGATGGTCTCAAACTCCGACCTTGTGATCTGCCCACCCCGGCCTCCCAAAGTACTGGGATTACAGGTGTGAGCCACTGCACCTAGCCCAGGGCAAGTCCTTTGGCTCTTTAAACCTCACTGTTCTCTGCAAAATGGGGAACATCACTAACAGGACTCACCCTTAAGGGTTGTTTTGAGGGTTAAATGAGGTGAGATGTGCGAGTAACCATTTCCTGGTACACAGTAAATCCTTCATTAGTGGTTGTTATTATTTCCACTGTACCACCTTCTTTTTTGTTTGTTTTGTTTTGAGAAGGAGTCTCGCTCTGTTGCACAGACTGGAGTGCAGTGGTGCAATCTTGGCTCACTGCAACCTCCACCTCCTGGGTTCAAGCGATTCTCCTGCCTCAGCCTCCTGAGTAGCTGGGATTATAGGAACCTGCCACCACAGTAGAGATGGGGTTTTGCCATGTTGGCCAGGCTGGTCTTGAACTCCTGACCTCAGGCGATCCGCCCACTTCAGACCCCCAAAGTGTTGGGATTACAGGTGTGAGCCACCGCTCCCAGCCCCACCTTCTTTATTAATATAATATTAGTGTACCTCTTAGTCTAGGATGCATAGTCCTGGAATGTCCAATCTTTTAGGAAGCAGGATGTGAGGAGGGTCATATAAATGGGACCTCCTGCGGGAGATCTGGAAAAAGCTGAAGGTTGTCTTGGAGGCGGAAGAGGAGGGGAAGGCAGTGGTAGGCAGGGATGCCACATGTCCAGAACTCTGAGGGCAAGACTGAACGTGCCCCTACTTTCTGGCCTTTGCACGTGGTGTTCTCGCCTTCAGCCCTCTTGGAATACTCCTATTTATCCTTCAAAACCCCACCCAGATACCCTTCTTTTAATTTTAAGTCTTTAATAAGTGATCATTTCCCTGTTCTTTCCTCAACCTTTGAATTTCTTGGTTGGGGCTCACCCCTCCCTGTTATGTTCCCATAGCATGTTATTCACTTGTTCATCAGAACCCTTGGCAGTTGTTCATTTCTTTTCCTATTTCTTTCTTCCACCAGACCAAGGATTCTTGAAATTACACGTTTGTATTAGACTTTGGGGAGAAAATGGGATAGCCTCAGATTTGAGTTGAACTTTGGGGACACCTTCCACCCTTAATGGCTAAGAATCAGATATACTGAGCTCTTCAGAGACTGTAGGTCCCCTCAAACCCAACACTGAGCTTGCAGAAAGTAACTGTCTGGGGAATGTTTGTTGAATGAATGA